CAGGCTCCTCTGTCCATGGGATTCTCCAGGCAAGAATACTGGAGTGGGTTGCCATCTGGTGGTGGGTCCAGTGGCTAAGAATGTGTTCCCAATGCAGGCAGACCAGGTTCGATCCCTGATCAGGGAAGTAGATCCCACATGCCCCAACTAAAGATTCTATGTGCCACAAATAAGACCCGGTGCAGCCAAATAAAAAAGTTAAAAGTATTGTAGTTAATTAGTTGCTAAGTCATATCCTACTCTTTTGTGACACCATGGACTGTAGCCCACCAGGCTCCTTTGTTCCTGAAATTTCCCAGGCAAGAATACTAGGGTGGGTTGCCATGTCCTTCTCCAGGGAATCTTCCTGACTCAGGGATTGAACCCACATGTCCTGCATTAGCGGGCAGGTTCTTTACCACTGAGCGACCAGGGAAGTCCAATTAAAAAGGGTACAATGCTTTATTTTCAAATTCACTACCTTTCACCTCGGATCTGACTGTAATGCTTCCTTGGGTATTTTAGAGAAGGTAAAGTTGAAGCAAAGAGTTCAGTAGTCTCTAAAGGTCCTAGTAGTCTTTCCAAGTTTATCATAATGCATTTCAACTTTATAAAATTAATCGCTAGCAGCTGACATGTAGGCTGTTCCTGCTCTGTTCCCAGTCCTATTCTAAGCACTTACATGTTGTAACACACTAGGACCACACAACATTTCTAAGACTATTACAGAGGCACAGCTGTGAAATCCTGACAGTGGGCTGAGCCCAAGCCAAGGGGGGCATCCAGTCTAGGAAAGGCCTGATGACCTGAACAACAGACAACTCACTGATGACAAAAATGTCTCCCAAACCAGGGCCTCTCCTGAAGTTTCTGGCCTGGGTAAGTGCCTCTCCACCAGAAACACATCCTTGTTTACTGACATGACAGGTGATATTTTAGTTCTTAAGACTTTTAGACTTTGGCATGATCTTAAGGAAAAAGAGACTCACCTCCACAGAACATGCCCCGGGTTAATGTTCCCACAGCCCTGGAAGTGAGAGGCAGAACAAGTTTTACCAAAGGAATGAAAATAAAGAAATAGGGGTGTTATCTTGTCCCCAGAACATTGTGGAGTTGATTCATCTGGGTCCCTTACAATTAAAAAAAAAAAAACTTGATGATCATCTAAATTTCAAAAACATGGTGCAGTGGTAAAGAATCCACCTGCCAATGCAGGAGACATAAGAGATGCGGGTTTGATCCCAGGGTCAGGAACATCCCCTGGAGCAGGGTATGACAACCCACTCCAGTATTCTTGCCTGGAGAATCCCATGGACAGGGGAGCCTGGCAGGCTACAGTCCTTGGGGTCATAAGACTCAGACACAGCTGAGCATAGAGCAAACATACACCAGCTTCAAAATAACTTTAGTACACTTTTGGGCCAATCGATGAATCCCTGAGGGGGGATAAGATGGTTGTCACTAAATGTTATTATTTACATTAAATACGCCATGGCCTCTAATGACCAAAATATGAGTGTGAACATATCTCAGGTCTTCTACGAGCTCAAGACCAGACCAAATATAATACTGCCTTACCAAATGCTTTCTTCCCCCAAACACAAGGCAGTCAGGGGAAAAGTGTGTTAATCGCTCAGTCGTGTCTGATTCTGTGACCCTTGGACTATAGCCCACCAGGCTCCTCAGTCCATGGGATTTCCCGGGCAAGAATACTAGAGTGAATTGCCATGCCCTCTTCCAGGGGATCTTCCAGACCCAAGAATCGAACCCGCATCTCCTGTGTCTCCTGCAGCCAGAGTAAAATCTGTGAATAATTCACCTCTACACTGGGGTTTATCATAGCAGATGGTCAATAAATATCACTCACACACAGAAACTGAAGGTCGCTCACTCCTCTAGTGTCAGGACTTAATTTGGGGACCTGAGTCCCCTTCGGGACCTTTGGGAAAGAGAACAAAATCAAGCCAACAACCCAAGCATCTTGACCTTTTGGTTTCTTCTATTTCTCCTTGTAAATGCTGACTTGCAAAGTAGTCTTTTGCAAGGTGAGCTGTTATTTGATTCACCTAAAAACAATCATCACTTGCTATGGAGAACACCCCTCTTTATTGTGGGCACCACATACATGATGTGGGATTTGTTTCAGAGTAATAAACCTCTGAGGGCGTCCAGGGTCCCTGCAGGTAACAGGTCCCAAAAACTGGGTGACCAGGCGGAGTCTCCATTAAGTCCTGGTCAGGGATACCCTCTCCTATTTCATTACCAATGTCCTTCACTTGCCTTTGGAAGGCAGATCTCCAGCAATGGTCTACTGGGGGAAAATACATATGTGAGAACATAGCCTTCTTCCTTATTTCTCACCTCTTGCTAAATCGGTAGTGTTCTTGGCAGTTTATGCTCCAGCTGGATGATGGAAAGGGATGAGTCCCAAATAATCCAGAGAGCAAATAATATATTCATGGGTAGTTAACTATTGACTCTTTTCTCTGACTCTCTAGTCCTTAAACCTAAGCTGACCTTGTTTCCCTTGTTCCTATTCCCTTTCTATCACCCCTATTTCAACTGGTGTGGGTCCTCTCTTATGAGGCTCTCCCCTCCCCTCTGGGACACCAAGAGATACACTTTCCCTGCTTTCCTTGTCGTAACAAGTACAATCCGCTCCTCGGGGCCCCTGTACTTGCTGTTCCCTCTGCATAGAACACTCTTCCCAGAACTTCCCTTGGATACCATTGTCCACTCATCCAAGCTTAAAAGGCCTTCTTCCTACAACTTACCTGGACCTCCCTACAGGATGCTGTCCTTAGCGGTTGTTTAGTCTTTAGAGCTGTTGCTTTGTGATATCACTCATTCAGTTGAAGGCTTGTCTGTTGCCTGCCCCGTAAGCACCACAAGGGCAAGGTCCGGGTCTAACTTATCCCTGCGAATGAATGTGTGACACATAGCAAAGGGCCCAGTCATAGTAGAAGCTCCTGATATTGCTGGATGATGAATGGATGGATGGATGGAAAGATGAATGGGTGGATGGATAGATAAATGAAGTGGATGGACTGGTGAATGGATGGATGGATAGATGAATGGGTGGTTGGATGGATGCATAGATGAATGGATGGATGGGTGGATGAATGAACCTCCTACTAATCCATGATACTGTGTTTTAAGCCCTGTGATAGGCTCTTTACATAGAGTCTCATCTTGATAAAACCAAACATGGCATCATTTATTCCCCTTTTAGCAGTGAGGAAAAGGAAGCTCAGCATGGCCATGAGTTTGTCCAAGGACACTTCATGATTAGATGTTGCATCCATGCTTCAAATCCACATGTGTATGAACCCAGATCCCATTGCCATTCCACCATTCAGCTTTGCCTCCCCTAAGCAATCAGCTTTTCTCCTTCACAACATCTTTTGTGTCAGTGGAAGAAAAACCCTAAAAACCTAACAAAAAGTAGATGAAAATTCATTCATAGATTTATAAGAGAATAAATTGATGAAACTGCATGAACTAAGTGAGATAGGCTTTGATGAAACAAAAGTCACAGAGGTGAGGCATCTTTAATTTTTCAGTTCAGTTCAGTCTCTCAGCCATGTCCAACTCTTTGTGACCCCATGGACTGCAGCACGCCAGGCTTCCTTGTCCATCACCAACTCCCACAGCTTGCTCAAACTCATGTCCAACCAGATGGTGATGCCATGCAAACATCTCATCCTCTGTCATCCCCTTCTCCTCCTGTCTTCAATCTTTCCCAGCATCAGGGTCTTTTCCAATGAGTCAGTTCTTTGCATCAGTCCTTCCAGTGAATATTCAGGACTGATTTCCTTTAGGATTGACTCGTTTGATCTCCTTGCAGATTTTTAGTTTTTTTAATTTTTGACATTTCCCAAATTTAAAACACCTTACTGAAAAAAAGCTTCTATAGACAAGAGGACTCTGCCTCCCAGAGGAGGTATGTGGTATCACACCCAGCTCTTGTGCTCGGTAAACCCACAGAACAGACCCACAGCATATGCCACTTGCACTTTGAAGAAGAGGAGAGTAGAAACAAGAGGAGGTGGAAGGGGAGGAGGAGGAAGAAGAGATAATGATGATCACAATAATAATAAAAAACAAGGAGGACAACACAGGCTTGCAATGCTGTGCTATGCTTCATTCAGAAAGCAGATTTGCATTCATTTTACCTAAAGTCATATAATGCAGCCATGAAACTGAAAGACGCTTGCTCCTTGGAAGAAAAGTTATGGCCAACCTACATAGCATATTAAAAAGCAGAGACGTTACTTTGCCAACAAAGGTCTGTCTGGTCAAAGCTATGGTCTTTCCAGTAGTCAAGTCTGGATGTGAGAGTTGGACCATAAAGAAAGCTAAGTGCCGAAGAATTGATGCTTTTGAAATGTGGTGTTGGAGAAGACTCTTGAGAGTCCCTTGGACTGCAAGGAGATCCAACCATCCATCTTAAAGGAAATCAGTCCTGAATATTCATCGGAAGGACTGATGCTGAAGCTGAAACTCCAATACTTTGGCCACCTGATGCAAAGAACTGACTCATTTGAAAAGACCCTGATGCTGGGAAAGATTGAGGGCAGGAGGAGAAGGGGATGACAGAGGATGAGATGGTTGGATGGCATCACTGACTCAATGGACATGAGTCTGAGTAAACTCTGGGAGTAGGTGATAGACAGTGAGGCCTGGCGTGCTGCAGTCCATGGGGTCGCAAACAGTCAGACACTGCTGAGTAGCTGAACTGAACTCAACTGAAAGTCATATATCATGATGGCAGTTCTGAAATTGTTTGGGGTCCCAAAGACTCTGTCTCCTCAGTTTTCTACCAACAGAAAAACAGACTGTCCGGGTTCTTGTTGGTTCTTGCTATTGTTTCCTGGTCCCATGCCAGGTTTGTCCTGTGACTCATTTCCTCGTTTGTGGGAAGGATTAGCGTGGTGACCTGGAGAATAAAAGGAGGCATTCTGGGCGCTCACCTTTAAAGTGAGCTCCTTCTTCTCTGACACGTTAGACTGACTTGTCAGCAACAGCTGCCTCCAACATGAAGCTGGTGATGGTCCTCACGCTGGCGGCCCTCTCCCTGTGCTGCTATGCAGGTGAGTGCTGACGGGGTGCACAGATGTGGGGCTCAGGTTGCTGTCTGGTTCCCTGTGCAAGAGCGCCCACTCCCCAAGCACCAGTACAGGACAGGCCTGCCCACCAGAGACCTAAGCATCATCACTCATTCCAGAACCTCTGAAAGGAGGCCCTTCGCGGGCTTTGCCTCTGCCCTGGGTCTGCACGTAGTGTCTCATGACATCAGGGCATCCCACCATCATCACAGGGGCCATGAGATCTGGACGAGGCTAGTGACTGACTATTAGAATTAGGCATTTCAGCAGGGCAAGGGGAAGAGATGCTCTGATGATTCCTGATTTTATACCAGATGAGTTTCCTGAAAGAGGCACTCTTGGAGTCTCCTTAAATATGAAAAGAAACAGGAAATCTGCCAGAAGGTATAAAGCTCAGGCTGCAGTGGGTGGCCCAGGGTCCTGCACCCAGCCGGGAGCCCCAACTCTTCACAAGTTTTCATAGTTGATTTGAGCCCTTCCGGAATGCCCTTCCTCCCAATCCCTCCTTGCTCAATGTTGGCTGAAGAGGGGAGTTCACACCTCCTTGGAGGTCTCCTTCCCCAGTGAAGAGCCAGCTAGAGAATAATGCCCTGGCCAGCTAGTCTAGTCTTCGGTAATAAGTCACAAACATAGTTTACTTTATTCAACTTACAAAGCTCTTTTCTTTTTTTTTTTTTTTTCATTTTTGTTTATTTATTCTTGGTTGTACTAGGTATTCTTTACTTTTCCCGGGCTTTCTCTAGTTGTGGTGAGTGGGGGCAATTCTTCACTAGGGTGCAAGGGCTTCTCATTGAGATGATTTCTCTTGTTGCAAACAAGGGCTCTGGAGCGTGGGCACAGTAGCTGTAGCACACAGGGTTAGCTGCCCTAAGGCATGTGGAATCTTCCCCAACCAGGGATCACATCCCCCACACTGGCAGGCGGATTCTTATCCGCTGTCCCACCAAAGAAGTCCTACAGGGCTCTTTTATTTTTTATTTATTTATTTTTTCCATTTATTTTTATTAGTTGGAGGCTAATTACTTTACATCATTGCAGTGGTTTTTGTCATACATTGAAATGAATTAGCCATGGATTTACATGTATTCCCCATCCCGGTCCCCCCTCCCACCTCCCTCTCCACCCGATCCCTCTGGGTCTTCCCAGTGCACCAGGCCCGAGCACTTGTCTCATGCACCCAACCTGGGCTGGTGATCCTACAGGGCTCTTTTAAATACCCCTGCCTCGTTTGTTCCTCAAGTACCTGCAGATGTGTTCAAGGTGACAGGCTCAAGGTCAGCTAAATAAAACATTACAGACCCAAGAATAAAAGCCAGTTCTCTCTAATCCAGTTCCAGAGCTCTTTCTTCTACCCAACTGAGGTCGCCACAACAGATCTCTTCACAAACAAGAATTTCATTTGTACATTATTTTGTTTGTTTCAGAAAATCATTAGCATCAACACAGCTAATGGACAATATTCTAGAACCAGTACATGTACAATTCTGGGAAATCTTGCTTGTTACTCAGAATGATAATGGTGAAGCATCATATGACTTTGAACAAGGAAAGACCAGATAAAGTTTAATATGTTGCCCTGAGTCAGAGCGTCTCACTTCCTCAATGCCCTCCTTAGTCAAGGTTACATAAGGTTTGGCTTCTAGAGGCTAGCAAGAGGAAGCACAGGTGTTTTAGGTCTTAGAGAAATCCCAGATCCCAAGTTTACTCTCAAAGAATTGAGAACTGAAGACCATTCACCATGATCTCTCTGAATAGACATCTCTACAGGGATGTAAAAGAATGACAGCCATCATGGTTCTGCCCCTCAAAGATGTTCCTGCATCCATAACAGAGCCTGTGTTTGCCTTCTTTCTTCCCAGGTCCTGGCTGTTCTCTTCTTGGCAACGTGATTGAAAAAGCAATTGATCCCACTGTGTCCAAGGATGAATACAGAGACTATGTTCAAGCGTTCACACAGAGTAAAACTGAGGAAAACGCTGTAGATGAATTAAAGCAATGTTTTCTCCAGCAGTCCAATGAAACTCTGGCCAATTTCGAGCAGATGATGGTAATTTCAGTTTCTTCTGATGTGCTTTTACAACCAAGGGACAGGGACAAATAGACTCTACATTTGTTATTCCTTACAGCAAAGCAAGTGATGAGTGTGCTTTATTTCCGTCTATTTCACTGTGTGGTGAGTCTGATGACTTTGACATTAAGAAAGACATCCAAAGCTACAGTCCTGAAACCTTTAGTGAATAATAAATTTAAAAGACAAAACAGGGAAAAGCGAAAGGTCTACCTAACCCTCATTTCCCCAGTAGGTACAAAGGCACACACACACATTATGATCAATGAAATAACCAGTCACGAAAAGACAAAGGTAGACTAACTCTTATACCAGGTTTCAGGAGTAGCCAATCTCATAAAAACACAGGGTGGAATAGTGGTTTTCAGAAGTCAGATATTGAGGAAAAAGGGAGTTATTTAACAGGTATTTAGTTTCATTTTGCAACCTGAGGACAGTCTGGAGATTGGTCGTACTGACTGCAGAGTGAATATGGTGTTAGGTATATTTGAAATGGTGAAAATGTTAAATTACATAATTTACTATGTAATTTAAATTACATCATTTACTATGATCCTTACAATGAAGGATGCTAGACTTTTTTTCTTGAAAAGCCTAGCTCAGATGGATCTTTCTGAGTCACACCCTCGAGATTCTGCAGGCTACAAAGTCAAAGATAAAGGTCCAGGCTATTTTTTATATTTCTGACAGAAAGTCTGCACAGGAATTCAAAAATGGCTCGGGTCCTTGTATTGGAGCTGAGATTGTCACAATTCTATGGAAAACTGATAATATATGTAGCATCGTTATAGATAAGTTATTACAGCAAGAAATGTGCAGAAAAGAACTTACTCAAAGGATCTCTGGTGGGGAAAAGATCTGGAAGCACCAGCACTTCTTTGGCATTAATAAATGTCTCCTGAATGATAGGATAAATGGGATCATTCTGATTTAACTTCCAGTACTAATTCTCTTGGATGTCAGATGTGTGTGAACGCATTCAAGATAACAATGAGAAACGTTTATTGTGCAAGATTTTATTTTGCAAGAGGGAGCTGAAAAATCTAAGTGATTTTTTTTTTGTTTGTTTTTCAGCAAACCATTTACAACAGTGTATTCTGTAAAATATTCTAACTTTCTACAAGACCTTTGGCTCAGAAATGTCAACTGGCGATGAGTATATATCACAAGCTATCTGTCTTTTTTTCTTTTAATCTACACACTGCAAGACAACTGTTGAAACCTCAGATATGTTTTCATTTCAATAAAGTATCCGCATATCTTTTTTGTTATCTGATTCAAATGGAGACTTTAGAGAGCTTCACATATAACACACACACAGAATTAATCATTAAATAACTCTCGGGTGAACGATAGAGGTATTTGAAAGGCACTTTGCCCCTTACCGTTTCTACCCAACATTAATTGGGTTTTCCTCCCCTCCTCATCCCCACCTCCCCAGGAACTAGAGAGGAGTTTCAGGTGGTTGGGTCATACCCAAGTTCCCTGACCTGTGTCAGTCTTCATCTTCATTCTGAACCCTGCTGGCCATGGGGGGCAACTTTCTCAGCTCTCTCTGTCTCTGCCCCAAGTGTGCAGGGCTGGGAACAGAGCCAGTGAGAGAGGCAACTCAGGCAAAGCCAGGATGAATCCTGTCTTGACATTAAAATCTGATATATGGCACTAATCTTAACTTTAAACATGAGTTCACAAAAATATTATTTAGCCTAATTCCTGAGATGTTTGAGTGAGTGTAAGTCGCTCAGTCCTGACCGACTCTTTGCAACCCCAAGGACTGTAGCCCGCCAGGCTCCTCTGTCCGTGGAATCCTCCAGACAAGAATACTAGAGTGGGTAGCCACTCTGTTCTCCAGGGGAATCTTCCCAACCCAGGGGTCCAACCCGGGTCTCCTGCATTACAAGCAGATTCTTTACTGTCTGAGCCACCAGATGTTTGATGTCCCCTAATAGAACTGTGTGACTGTCCCCAGGTGTGTCCCTCGAGTGGCAGTGTAACTCATCCCCTCATTCACACAATGACCTGTGAAGTCAGGAAGATCGGGGAAAACGTGCATTACGTTGGAACAAACCAAAACAAGAAATTTTAAAATTGAACCTTAGCTCCCCTTACTTCTACCTACCAGTCCCCACAATCCTCTCACCAAAGATAAGTTACTGCCCCTCTGCTCACACCTCCCAGCATCCCTTTTCCTTCCTGGGCCATCCCTTCCACCAGGAAGACCTCTGGCCCTTTCTTGGGACGATTCAGCACCCCGAAGTTTTGACTCTCCCCTCCTGTATAATGTGTACAGGAAAGAGGCACAAGAGGGGGATCCTGCGAAGGGGAGCCATTCTCTGGTCAGACCGGTCTTAGCTTTGAAGGGAGGTGGTCTCAGGATTGCAAGCAAGGGCAGCTCCCAGCTTCAAGCAAGTCTCTCCCCAGCCCCAGTCTCAGCACTCGGACAGCTTTGGCCTCCATCTGCCCCAGGACATCACAGAGCTGTCCCAGCGGAGTCAGGGTACCCATTCAACACAGTCACACGTTTGCCAGGCACACCACCCAGCCAAGGATACAACCAAAGAATGTCTGCTGGCAGGGCTAATGCCTGCAAAGCCATGCAGAGCCCAAGAGGATGACGGAGGACCTTGCTGACAACACCAGCAACTGCCAGACGTCCTGCAGATGGGAGTGTTGGAAGAAACACTGAAGATTGGAGCAAACAGAAGCAGCTTTCTGGAATGACCATGTCAGCACATCACTCAACCGACTTTGGCCACAGCAAAAGACACAGTATGCTTTCTGATCACCGTGGAATCAAACAGAAAACCAAGAACAGAATGATCATAGGAAAACCTCTAATCACTTGGTTAAAAAACACACACACAAACACACACACTGCTTTAAAAATCAATGAATCAACAAGTCCTTCCTAAATATTTTTTTAAGTGTCTGTCCCCAGCGCTGACCTGTCACCCTACAGTGGAAAAGGGTGGTCTTGTGCAAACTGCAGTCTTCATTACCTGACATATAGCATCAGCACTAAGAGGATAAGGAATGGAGAGCAGATAGTAGGTACACAAGAGCTAAATTCCTGTGTAAAATGCACTACTAACAAACTCTGGTGGAAACAGGAATCCTAGAGACCAGTGAGGTGGTTGGAATCATGAGTGTCATGTTTAAGATTTATGGCAAGGTAAACATACAGAAAACACCTCGTGGAAATGTTTCTCCTATTTTTCCTTCTAACTACACTCTGTAGGACTCTGACTGCCTAGAGTTGGAGACAGGACAGTGACATCTGTCCGGGCAGAAATGCGTCATTCTTGCTATACTTCTAACACGTGTCTTGGACTTAAGCAAATATTACATCTCCTGGAAGTTAACACTTAAGTTAAACTACTCACAAAATGCATGAACAGCATCGAGAATCATCTGAGATAGATAGATAGATACAAATCTGAATCACTTTTCTGTACACCTCAAACAAACACAACATTATAAATCAACAATATTTCAGTAAAAAAAAATGCACAAGCTGGATGGCAATTGACTGGGAATGGTAATAGAAATAAATGTGCTTTATGAGTTTCTGACTAACAGGGCTCAGTGAGGACTAAGACGGATGGAAAAGACTCAAGTCTTAATAAATCCTAATTTCCATGAATAAATTTCAGAAATTCAGGGGTGAAAAGAAAAACCTACATGTTTCCCACAAAATAAGTAGAACTCACATCAGACTTTTCAACAGCAACATGAAGAGAGAAGGGAAACAGAAAGTTGATGGCGTGCATGTGTGTGCTCAGTTGCTCATTCATGTCTGACTCTTTGAGACCCCATGATTTTGCCTGCCAGGCTCCTCTGTCCATGGGATTTTCCAAGCAAGAATACTGGAGCAGGTTGCCATCTCCTTTTCCAGGGGATCTTCCTGACCCAAGGACTGAACCCACATCTCCTGTGTCTCCTGCACTGGTAGGCAGATTCTTTACCACTGAGTCACCTGGGAAGCCCAGAAAGTTGATTACTTACTGCCTAAGCCTGAAGGGGTCATGGGAGTGGGGAATGACTGCTGTCTGCAGGGTTCTTTTTGGGCGTGATGAAAATGTTCTACAATGGACTGTGGGGATGACTGCACGACTCTGAATATACTAAAAACCACTGAAGGGTACACTTTAAATGCATGCATTCTATGATGTGTGAGTTACATCTCAATAAAGCTGCTGAAAAAAAAATGTGCTTTTGTTAATGGGTATTCCTGAGGATGATGGGATTAGAAATGAAATATAGGGACTTTCATGGTCCTGTGGCTAAGACTCCAATCTTCTAAGCCAAGGGGGTGTGAGTTCCATCCCTGGTCGGGGAACTAGGATCTCTCATGCTGCAGGGCATGGTCAACAAATTTTAAACATAATAATAATTTTTAAAGTCATTTCTCTAAAAAGGAATAAAGAAATGAAATATAGTGTTTGCCTAGCAGGATCAACAATTTACAAAATAGTTTATGCTCTTTTGTTGTTGCTCAGTCGCTCAGTTGTGTCCGACTCTGCGGCCCTGTGGACTGCAGCACGCCAGACCTCCCTGTCCATCACCATCTCCTGGAGCTTGCTCAAATTTATGTCCATTGAGTCGGTGATGCCATCCAACCATCTCATCCTTTGTTGTCCCCTTCTCCTCCTGCCCTCAATCTTGCCCAGCATCAGGGTCTTTTCCGGTGAGTCAGTTCTTCGCATCAGGTGGCCAAAGTTTTGGAGCTTCAGCCTCAGCATCAGTACCTCCAATAAATATTCAGGACTGATTTCCTTTAGGATGGACTGGTTGGATCTCCTTGCAGTCCAAGGGACTCTCAAGAGTCTTCTCCAACACCACAATTCAAAAGCATCAATTCTTTGGTGCTCAGCCTTCTTTATGGTCCAGCTCTCACATCCATACATGACCACTGGAAAAACCATAGCTTTGACTATCAACAGTTTACAAAATAGTTTATGCTCTAAACAGTAAGGATA